CCCCCTCCCCTCTAGAACCCTCAGTTTGTTTTTCAGAGTCCATCGTCTCTCATGGTTCGTCTACCCCTCCGATTTCCCCCGCTTCATTCTTCCCCTCCTGCTACCTTCTTCTTCTTCTTTTTTTTTAATTCATTGGTATTGAATCCTTCTTATCACATTGTAGTTATTTATCTCAGAATAGAAGACGCTATATAGTAACTTTTGCATGGCAGAGAGGTGAGGAGAAATATGTGAATTTGACAGCCTTCAAGTGTCCTTCTGATTTTCATATTTGTTTTTGCAAAGATGATTTGCTGGAAGCATTTTTATTTTTAAAGGATTTTGTTTTCACTTGGGACAAGAACTAATATTTTTGTACAGCGCTTTACTATTTATTGAGTGGCTTCTCTTCTGTGATCTCATTTAAAACTCTTACCAGTCTTGACCAGTGGGTGTTATTATTATTACAGTATCCCCTACAGAAAAGAAAAAGACAAGACTAAGTAATTTCTCTAGGGGTCACATCATTAAGTAGTTTGTGTAGGTAGGACTCAGATCCAAATCTTCTAAGTTCAGGTTTTATAAAATACTACTGGTTCTTATAAAGAATATTAAAGTGAGATTTTATTCTTATTTTCTCTGAAATTGTATCATTAGAAAACTTATTACTCCTTGGAACATTCTAAATATTTCTACAACATATTCTTGGTTCTTTCATCATGATTTCATACATTTATATGTTAAGTCCAATGTTTCGTATGTGGGGGAGAAAGATAATTTTCTCTTTCCCTTCTGGGTTCTTGGCTGAGGAACCCCCACTCCCCCCCATAATAAAAAGGTAGATTAACAAGAGAAAAGAAGTTTAGTAATATGTATATCTCTTGTATATACATGGGAGATACCCAGAAAAACTTAGTTAACTCTCTTTAATGGTCCCTGCCACCACCTTAAAAACCATTTCCTGCTAAACATAAAATAGATGTTTGTTGAGGGGAACTAGTTATGGGAGGTTATTAGGAAAAGCACAATAAACAAGTTGTGGGGTTGTTACTCAGATTTAAGTTTCTGCTTCCTCCCAGGATAAGAGTTTCTAAGAGATTTAGAGTCCATTATCATTTTCTGGTACAAAGAGGGAGACTCCCTTACAAATGGAGTTTTCCTTATAGATTTAAATGTCTCTTACAAAAGGGTAACTTCTATTCTGTTTTCAGAGGTTTAACAACATCTACTCTTTCTTAAAAGTAATCAGCCAAAAATAATACTTATGCCAAAGAGGTATATTTTGGGGTGGTATATTCTGCTCCCCTTTACAAGTTCAGACCACACTCTGGGCATTCATTATATTTTACCATTTACTGTAATGTTTGTATCATGTCTATTTTGTGTGTTTGTGGGGAGGTAGCTATAACTTCTATTCAGACTTACTCCAATTTTTCTTGTTACTTTACATTTAAAGTCTGGCTTCATGAAATATTTAAATTTAGCTCTTTGTGTTACATTTGTTCTTACTACCAGTGATTTGTTATATATGAGAAACTTTAGAATTTATTGTAACTTGTTACACACACACACACACACACACGTATAATGTGTGGGATTTCATTTAGTGAGTTAATAGAATTTGCTTCATAAATGCTTTAAGTAAAAATAGAGTTTTTGTTTAGAATTACTCTTTTTGTTTGGTTGATACAAAATTCAGTTTAATGTGTACCAAAAATTGGTAAGTCTTCTTTAGGTTGAGTATTGCAGTTCAGAATTTTTACTTTGAAAACTTGGTGGGGATTGAGTACAAAATGGTTATAGGTACAGTATATTGAGTATGAATTGATATTGGATCAGTGGTGGAACTTGTCTCATGAATGAATCTCCTTCTTGAATTTTTTTCTTAAGCTTGGAACAGAGAGGTGAAGGAGTGCAGATGTATGAGTAGCACATATTCAAAATATGTTGTGTGCCATGGCTGAGAAGTTATTAACCCCCCCCTTTTCTACTGTGCTGTCTGCTTTCTCTTTTATATGCATCTTCAATTCCTTATTCCAAGTCTCTATAGGAATGATGTATATAAATAACCTAAATGTCTCTTAGTAGTATGATGTGTGTGTGTGTGTGTGTGTGTGAATAAGGAATTTGCTTAACCTCTGCTTTTCCTTCACACTAAATCTCAGGTATGGGCTATTTGAGAAAAACCCCTTTTTAAAAAAAATGGGAAGAGGCATTTTAAAAAAATGTTTTATTTATTTCATTCAGTTACGAAATCAGAAAAATTTTGCCCAAATGAATTCCATTAAGTGCTTTCATTGGTTAGTCAATGCTCTGTGTGTGTATGTATGGTGGTGGTGGTTTTCCAGGTAAGTAAAATAGCCAAATGTTGAATAGGCTAATAACTCTTACACCAAATTTTATATCTCTTACTCTAAATTTCTAGCCAGCATCTAGTATATGTTCATAATTATCTGTTCATTGAAATCTGTGTGTTTAGCATATTTTCTTTTCTGTTCTTTTTTTTTTTTTTTTTCCTCTCAGGGACATAGTTCTCAAACTACTTCAGTATGAGGCATCAACAAATGTAGCAGACAACAAAGGTTATTTTCCCATTCACCTGGCTGCCTGGAAAGGAGATGTAGAAATTGTGAAGATTCTTATTCATCATGGACCATCACATTCCAGAGTCAATGAACAGGTGCACTTGTCAAATATTTGCTCATGCTATAGTTTTTCTAGAGGTTTGCAAAGGCAATGCTGCATTGAAAAATTGATTATTTCTGTCATTACCCTGCCAAAGACCTTTCACTGTTAAATTCCCTAAAGGAGAAATTGAAAAATTCTTTGGCACTTGTATTAGGTCCATAGGTCCTAAGTTGGGCTTTTGTAAAGATATTTGTTAACAAGAGAATACTACATAAAGTAACTAATATTTTTGCCTAACTATATAAGCGTCCATTTTGTAGTTTTTGAATATTTAAAGATAGGACAGAATTCACATTTATAATATGAATTAGAGCTTTTCTTAATAAAATTTTAAATGCTAAAACGATGATGGATTCATTTGCAGAATACTCTCCATTTACTTCCACATTTCCATAGCAAATACAATTTTGTGAATCAAAATGCAAAATACATTATATACCATCGATAGTCACATATTAAGTTAAAAATTTCCTGTATGTATACCAGAGTATGTTGAATAAAACACAGCAGCAATATACTGACAGATAAAGTAAAAATATTTTCAAGTGTATAATATCCATATTACACATAACTGACATATTAAAAAAGGAATGCCATTCTCAGTATTCTAAATAAATAAGACCACAGATTTCTGAAAGTAAAATACAGGCCGCTAGTACAGTATGGTAATAAACATCTTGAGCTCTGCATGCCCCCTGCTGTTCCCATTTTGTAAAACTATATTTGAAAACCAGCATGTAGCCCAACAATTGAATTACAACCATGGCATTAAGCTGCAGGTTGGCAGTTGTCCAATATCAATGTAAGTGGTTACTCTAGGGCAAGCACATCTAATAAAGTACAATTAGCATACTGTTCAAATGAATACAGACTTTGCAGGCCTTTGACTGAAATTCAGACTAAAGAATAAAAAGTAACACTGCCACTAGCTATAAACACCAAAGGGAAGAAAAATACATTTTTTCCAGGCAGAAAAATACATTTTTTCCCCAGAAAAATGCAGTTATAGAAATAAAGTTCCTCTGAGTAGGAAAAATGTTGTATTAATTGGAAGTGTCTTTTTAATAATTATCACAAAATATCTATGTTTATAGGTTACCAAATGAAGTGTATTTTTATGCAAATACATTCATAAACTCAATCTTTAAAAAATGACAGATGCCTATCTTTATCAGCATATCATGCTAAAGGGAAATTTATGGGAATGCTGTTCTGTTTTTCAGAAAATCAAAAGTTAAAAGATCATTTGTGGGATGAGCCATCTGGTGGTTATTCTTAAAACTGTCTGAATGCCCCAAAGTGAACCTGAAATAGTAAGATGGAAAAACAATCCAGGGTTAAACAAGAGGATGTTAGTTTTTACAAGCAAAATATTTTTTAAAGGACGTGAAAATAAGAAAAAACACTTAGAATTCATTTGTATTTGAAAGTTGCTTTGTCTTGTGGATTCTACTGGAAATAAATTAAAAATTTCTTGAGATTTTTAATACCATGCTGTCAGTATTTGTTATGTATATGGTACTCCTTTAGTGCTGATGTATTTCTGTCATTTAGTGTCATTTCTCCTGTTTCTGATGTGGGAATTTTATTTTTGTAAAAGTAACTTTTCATTTTAGCTTTATTTCTTATTTCCCCCCTCTGAATGGGGTAGAAATGTACTAATTACTTATAAACCTTTATGTATTTAAGCAACAGAGGGGAGAAATGAAAATAATAAAGATATATTGAGACATGGTGCTTGACATAGCCAAATACCATGCTAAGCACTTTTACCTATAATGTTATTTAATTAATTCTCACAACCCTTGAAGTGATAGTATCGCTCCCATTTTATAGATGAGAAATTAGGCTCAGTAAAGCTAAATAAGTCATGCAAGGCCACACATTACTGAGTGACTAAAACTCAGACTTTGAACTCTAATTCCAGAGCCCTCCATAATAGCATATTGGTATTGTCATCATAAATCCTGTCACTTATGGATTGTTTACTATATGCCAGGCAGTGTGCAAAGTACTTCATCTATTATCTTACAAAGCTCTACTGCATCCTGATGAGATAGGGATTAATTATTGTTCTTATTTTATATATAGGAAGCTACCTTAGAGAGATTAAATAACCTGCCCATGATATCACAGCTACTAAGAAATGCACTACGTATTTGAATTCAGGTTTTTCTGATGCAAAGCTCAAACTCCTAACCAATTATGCTCCATGTTATGATAATAAAATTATGTATAATTGTCAGGGCTTCGTTCTGATTTCTGAAAGTAGTCTTTGGTTTCTAATACAGCTTTCTTTCAAAATAATTCTGTCTTATATTTTGATATTTAACATTTACAAAGCATTTGCCTTTATGTTATTTCTTTTGATTTATAAGCTATACTCTAAGGTTTGTAGGGAGGGTAATATTCACATTTTTCTGATAAGATAGGTTCAGAGAGATCAAGTATGTGTCAGCACTTCAACATAGGTCACCATTCTATACTGCCCTAGAATTAGTGGCCAATTTAGGACAATGTAATTTTGAAAACAAAGTAGACCGTGCCCTGATTATGGTTTTCATATTTTTTATAATTGTTACATCCTTCCTCTCTTTTGTCAACTGATTTATTATTTCCTTTTTTTGATGTTATATATGTTTGCATTTTATGTTTCTCTGTATATTCATCTCTTCCCCCCTTTACCTTCTTTTCCTCTTTTTTTTTTTAAACATTAGGGCAAAAACAAGAGGAGCCCTATCTGATAAGTATATTCACTTACCATTTACTAAAACTCAAACCTAACTAATGTTAATTTCCATTAGTTTTATTTTGAAGCAAGATCTTTTGGTAAATAGCTTTTGTCAGCCAGTTTTGTTCTGCTACCCATTGTCTATAAGTAGAAGTGTCCTAATATTTTGGAGAACACCCATTTGGTAAAAAAGAGGGAATTCAGAACTGCTCAAGAATGTTCATTGTAGACATAAGGCAGTTACTAATCAGTGCTTCTACACAGTCTGTATTTCAAATCCGATTCTTTTAGATCACTTGTTAGTACAGATACATGTATACAATCATGCCTTTTATAAAGGTACCATGGTTGTGGTCTTCCTGATCTGACAGTACAAGTATGTGCTGATCATGGGTAAACTATGAATATTTTCTCCTGAGTAAGTCTGGCATGATTGAAATAATTTTTCTTGAGATCTGAACAATCTAATTGGTGTTAATAGAGAAAGTTTCAGTTTTGCACTTATAATTTCCTATGCTAAGGCCTCTGCAAATGTAGAGATGTGTTTGAGGAGTCATTATTTTGTAATGGGCTCTTCTTTTTCTCAAAGAGGTGCTGTGTTTTGAAAATTGAGTTTCTTTCTAACCACGGGAAAATTTGATTTGGTCAGAAGGCATATTTCTATATCATATTTTTATGGTGTAGGTAATAGATTGATTTTCTTATCAGGCTTATAAAACTTAGCCAGATAAGAAAAATCAGGGAATGTAGACCTGTATAGACCTGTATGGGGTCAATCTCTATGAGGAAGTAGACTGTAGCAGCACATTCAAACTAAGAACAAGAATGACTCCTCCTAAAATGTTGGAAGAATCAGTGCCTTCAGCTGGATTCCCCGTCTATCCAATCTTAATTTCTTGTTGATTGTCTCCAAGGAGTAGGTATTTTTTCTGGGTTTGGCCTTCAAATGCACTCTTCTGATACTTTTATTTGGAAGGTAAAGTAGTAAGAAGTCTTTCAAAGTGCTCATTAAAATTTTTTTTTTTTCGACTGCTCTTTAAGTTTTTAAATCCTCCCTCTGCTCTTAACTCTCTACTCTCAACTTATTTGCATCCTTCAGCCAGAGCAAGTCTGAATTACTTTTGGGAACATTAAGATTTATTTGGGTTTGAACCCTATTTGTCCTTTTATGTGGTCAGAGCAGCTATCTAAGTAGCTAGTTCCTGTTACAACTCAGTTGGTATTCTTTTGAGCAAAATCTGTACAAATTCTGCTTTCAGCACTAATTTCCTTTTCTTCTCTGACTATATAGCAATACTTGGCAGACAGTGTGGTGTAGAGGAAATGAGACAATGTATATGGTTTTTAGACATTCAGCAAATGACAGTAGTAACAGTTGTTATTGTGGAAGATGGTATTAAGAGCAGTGACTTTGGGGGGGGTGACAGGGTGGCTCAGTCGGTTAAGCATCTGCCTTCAGCTCAGGTCATGATCCCCAACTTCCAGACTCCTGGGATAGAGCCCTGCGTCAGGCTCCCTGCTCAGTGGGGAGTCTGCTTCTCCCTTTCCCCCTGCCCTTCCGCTGCTCCTCTCTCTCTCTCTCGCAAACTTTCTCAAATAAATAATATCTTAAAAAAAAAAAAAGAGCAGTGACTTTGGGTTCAGATCCTGGCCCCAACACTAAATGGCCGAATACTTGAAGGCTAGTTATTTAATTACTCAGTGCCTCAGTTCCTCATCTGTAAAGTGGCAATAATGATAATAATAGCAGAGTGAAGATTAGAGTACACATAAATGGAATGCAGCTGTGCCTGGTACATAGTGTTAGCTCTGAGGATGACTCTGATGATGGCAGCCTCTTTCTCTCTAGAACCCTTACTCAGGATCATTGCATTTTTGTTACTAAAATTTCTTGTTTACGTTTCTCCTGACTGATCCTTCTACCTCCTGACATAGTCATATACAATCTACCTACACCATCTGCCCAAATGGACTGAAAGGTCCATCTGCCTTGAGATGGGGTTTAGTTTTCTCTGTTTTAACATTTAAAAAAATGTTTAATTCCAGTGTAGTTAACATGCAGTGTTATATTCATTTCAGGTGCACAATATAGTGATTCAGCAACTCCATGTATTACTCAGGGTTAATCAAGATAAGTGTACTCTTAATCCCTGTCACCTGTTTCACTGCCCCCCCCTCCCCCCGGGAACCATCTGTGTTCTCTATAGTTAAGAGTCTTTTCTTGGTTTGTCTCTTTTTCTTTGTTTATTTGTTTTGTTTCTTAAATTCCACATATGAGTGAAATCATATGGTGTTTGTCTTTATCTTATTTCACTCAGCAATATACTCTCTTGATCCATCAGGTACAGTTTTTATCTTGCTAAATTTCCTGGAAAATCTTGATTTTCAACTGCAACACTTATTAGGAGCATATGTAATAATGTGATACTCCTTGTAACTTGTCTGGCAGTGGGTTTAAGTCTGCCTCTCAAACCATAATTATATTTCAAAGATATGTGGTTTAATCTTAGGGCCAGTATGTCTTCATTCTCTTTGCAAAAGAAGCAATGATTTGTACTTGTATGGAAAATAAAATGAAACTTAATTTGGGAAGTCTTTCCATAAATCTTTCATTATCAAGAATTTGCCATCTCTTTTGGGAAGCCAGTCTGTTAAAAGTGGGTTATAATTGTTATTAATCTCTCTCATTAACAAATGTCACGGAGGCATGATGCACAGTACAGATAACACTGACCATCTGGGCCCAGCAGGGCCACTGACTGACATGGCTAAATCATTTATCACTCCCGGAAATTGGTATATATAATGCAGGGGAAAATTTGATTTTCCTTATTGAAATGATTAAAAAATGTGATCTTTTTGGTGCAATAAGATACTTTAACAAATATTCTATTAGGCATACTTATTAAAATAGATAAATCTTAAACTTACATTTTCAAAGTATCTCTGGTTTTAAATTACTGTTTAGATTTTGATAATGGAATTTCTGAAAACTTGAATCTTATATCTTTGTCTTAACAGAACAATGAAAATGAAACTGCCCTGCACTGTGCGGCTCAATATGGACACTCAGAAGTAGTTGCTGTTCTCCTAGAAGAGCTCACCGATCCTACCATCAGGAACAGTAAGCTAGAAACACCTTTGGATCTGGCAGCACTCTATGGGCGACTTAGGGTGGTCAAAATGATCATCAGTGCACACCCTAACTTAATGAGCTGCAACACTAGAAAGCACACGCCGCTCCACCTCGCTGCTCGCAATGGTCACAAAGCAGTCGTTCAGGTGCTGTTGGAAGCAGGAATGGATGTGAGCTGTCAAGTGAGTCTTCTTTTAGCTATGATTTAAAAGTGATGATGCTCTTGCTTTGCTTTGAGATACAGACATTAAAGCTTATATGTAGAAATCTTTTCATTTTTAATTAAATTGTCCACAAATATTTTTATAACTGTTAAATTCAAGATGCTGTGCCACACGCTGCTGGGAAATATGAAGAGATCTAAGGCATAATTTCTAACCTCATTCTAATTTTAGGGCTTTATGAATGAAAAATTATTATTAGGAGGCTGTTGTGTGTGGTATCATTAGTAATTGTTCCCTCCCAGTGTCCGGCACACAGCTTGACATACACTAGGAATCCAGTCAGAGTTGAATGAATGAAAGAATGAATCAAAATTCAATTTAATACTTTTGAGTATGTACTTAGTGTTTAATATGTTGACACATTTAGAATCCATTTTTAACAGCCCTCCTGTGGGATTAAGAGCTACTAAGTTCCAGTTAAGAGATGAGGAATCAGATTCAAAGAGTTAACAAAATTGCCTAAGGATGTATAGCTGATAAACCTAGAATATGAATTTATACTTACTGATTAAAATCCAGGCCTCTTTACATAATAGTGAACTGTCTATACATGATTAATGAAGGAAAAATCATTTTGTCTAAGGGCAGTCAGAAGGAATTTTATTGGAGAGGCGTGATTTGAGTTGAACTTTGAAGCATGGATGACATTTGGAAAGGTTTCTCCACAAGGAAAAGGGCAACCTACTTTTTTATTTTTAAGGGCAACCTACTTTTATTATCTGTTTCAAGTTAACTCCAATTCCAAGGTTAACTTTTTTTTAACTGTTTTTTCCTTTTATTACTGTTTTTTGTCTCCCAAGTCAGTGGCAACATTCTTATCTTCCAGAGACCCTTTTGGTTCCTGTCAGATTGTGTCCTTTTCCCTTGTGTATTAGTAAGCTATTGCTGTATAACAAACTGTCCTGAAACTTAATGGCTTAACACAGTAATACTTATTTAGCTCATAATTCTGTGGTTGGTGATTTAGTCTGAGCCTCACTGGGTAGTTCTATCTTGGCTAAGTTCTCTCATGTGTCTGGGGTCAATTAGAAATCAGTTGAGTGGCTCTGCTGGAGAGATTGGCTGGATTTTGCCTGGGATAATGGGTGAGGTTGCCATGTGTCTTTCATGATCCAGCAGGCCACCTTGGGCTTGTTCACATGACAGTGGTATGGTTCTATGTGCATGCATGTGTGCACACAAGAGACAGAAGGAAGGAGGGAGGGAAGAGGGTTATACAAAGTCTCTTGAGGTCTAGGCTGGGAGCAAGCATCCTGTCTTTTCTGTAGTGTTTGATAAGCCAACATGTCACAAAGGCAGCCTAAATTCAAGGATTGGTAAAACAGATTTTACCTCTTAATTAGAAGAGGTTGTGAATTGTTAAAGGGGTGCAAATACCCAGAGGGAACAAATGCAGCCAGCTTTGCAACATTCCAAATGCTGTTAGTGCTCAAAACTGTGGGGTTACTTTTCCTAGGAATTGTTTAGAGGTTGAATTTTGTTTCTTCTTTGTTTTCCACCGAAATTTTAAAAATCTTAGGCCTTATAAAATAAAATAAAATAAAATAAAAATTTTAGGCCTTCTCATCCTACATTTCAGGCTGGTCCCCTGAAACAGACTTTTCGTTGGAGCTTTGCTTGTCTTATTTAGCTATTTAGGTATTTATAAAATCTTTTCTTAATTTTTTATTTATTCTACTTTTGCAGCCTTAAAAATAAACACAAGAATTTTTTCTAGTCCTCATGTTAAAAAAACCCCAATTTTCCCCTCAATTAAAATGAGATAGATACATATTTACTATTTTAAGTGACTCACAAAGTTACTATCTTAAAGTGTGTTTAATGATAAGCTAGATGTTTATTGTCTGAAAGTTGAATTTCTCTAATCTAGATTTACTGCTTTCATAAAACTTCTGGAATATTTTTTTTAAAGATTTTATTTATTCATTTGAGAGAGAGAGAGAGAGCGTGCACAAGCCGGTGGGGGAGGGACAAGCAGACTTCCCACTGAGTAGGGAGCCCAAAGGGGGCTCAATCCCAGGACTCCAGGATCATGACCTGAACCAAAGGCAGACACTTAACCAACTGAGCACCCAGGTGCCCCAGACACTTCTGGAATATTTCTAAACTTGATGGCACAGAGCACTTCATAACCAAGGACTTCACTATGACTGAGATCAATAACTCACTTCATGTCCATGGCCCAGATCTTTTTATATTTTTTACTAGATGACATGGCCAGAAGAGAAAGAGTCTGGCTTCAATTTTATGTATGTATATGGTACATCTTTTTTATATAAAATACTACTTACTATATTATTTATGTTTTTGGATAATTAAAGATAAGTAAGATCTCTGCCCAGAATTTAGTGGAGGATACAAAAACTTGCAAGAATACCTCCTATATATGACATACTAAAATAAAGAGTAGGGCAAAATGCTATGGAGAGATCAGTGAATAAAATATAGATTGTAAGAGGGAGGAATTGAAGAGACATAGAGTAATATTTGAAGAGGAGCTTGATGGCTTTAGGACTTTGAATTTAGGTATAACTTAGCTTGCAAATATGCATTATTTGGCTAAAATAGTATTTTAAAATATTGAATTTGAATGCTTTTAGATGGGGTATATACCTTCCAAGGTCCCAACCTCTCTCTACCTCTTTCTACCATCTTCTGTCATTGCCAGATTCATTCCTTTAGGTTTTCTACTTTGCCCCAATAGCATTTGGGTTTGTTACTCATATATCAGATGAAAGGAGCAAAATATGTTTAGACCACTGTGAACACTTAATCAGAAGCATCAGGGCTGGTACCTGAGCAGGGTGGGCAATGTTTTGTTATTTATACTCACTTTATGATTTCATCTTGAAGGTTTTCAAGAAGTAGAACTGACAACATATTCTAAAATATATCTCAATGAATTGAATCTTCTAGTATTTAGTTAGCCTTAGTTGATGTTTTGCTTTATTTATAGAAAACATGCATTTTTTTTGTTTGTTTCATTGCCTTTTTTGGGTCAGTGTTTAATTTTATTATGGAATTCAAATGAACTGTCACCAAGTTTGCCAATCACATTCACTGCAAAGTTGTTGGGTTTTTTTTGTTTGTTTGTTTGTTTTGAGAGGGGGAGAGTGGGAGGGGAGGGGCAGAGGCAGGAGGAGAGAGAGAATCTCAAGCAGGTTCCAAGTGGAGCCTGATGCGGGGCTTGATCTCACTACCCTGAGATCAGGACCTGAGCCGAAATCAAGAGTCAGATACTTAACCAACTGAGCCACCCAGGTGCCCCTGCTGCAAATTTTTTTTTCTTTAATTTTTTTATTGTTATGTTAATCACCATACATTACATCATTAGTTTTTGATGTAGTGTTCCATGATTCATT